GAAAAAAAGAAAGTGTGAAATATCAGAATTTCCTGGAGTTCCCATTGAACTCCTACTAGATATTCTTAAAGAAGACAATGTAATGATACTTTCCTGAAAAAAGCAAGGAAATTGACACATGCCTTCATACTTTATTTTGTACCAGAAAATAACATGTGCTGGTATAGCAATTTTTACCAAAATGTACTGGTATAGCAATTTTACCAAATGTTACTTTCCAGCTGTACCTTAATTCATGATATATATGTGTATTGTATACATGTTATATATGTATGTATTTCATACCTACTGAGGTTCTAGGTACATAACGAGCGGGAATATATATTGTATCTAGCCAAGGCCCGGGGCGGGATGGATACACGCTGTATCCATCCCTGTCCCGCTTCTGAAATTTTTTTTCACAAGTTTTTCAATTTTTTTTTTGAATTTTTTTACATTTTATTTTCACATTTTTTCCAAAAAATTTTTTCACATTTTTTTCAAAATTTTTCAAAATATGAGTTATATGAGTTTGAAAATCTCAGAAACTTAAAAAACACTTCAAACACCAAGGAAATGCGTATCTTAAGTATATTTTTGAATTTTGGAACTTTATAAGGTATATGACGTACCTAGAACATCAGTAGGTATGAAATACATCTGTTATGTACGGTCGGTTTTGGATACAGGGTTTATCACTCGGGAAATATGTGAATATCCCTCGGTCCCTGCGGTCCCTCGGGATATACACATATTTCCCTTGGGATAAAACCTGTATCCAAAACCTCCCAGTACATAACCCTTATGTATTTGTATATCTTCTAAACTGGTCCCCAGTCCCCAGTTCCCAGTTTGAGATATCTATATGCTATTTCGGCTTATGGGCCATGTAAACCAGCACAGAATATGCAAATTAGATAGATAAATATATGCATATGTATACAGATGCATATATCTATGTATTTCATACTTGAGTGGGTTTGGGGTAGATATCACCCGGGAATATATATCATATCTGAGGAGCGGGCAGGATATATTGTATATGTCCCGCTCTAGGCCAAATGCGGGCAGATATAATATATCCATCCCGCTCCCGGGAATTTTTTCAAAAGTTTAAAAAAGTTTAAAAATTTAAAAAATTTAAAAAATTTAAATTTCAGAAGTTTAAAATTTTTCAAAAAGTTTAAATGTTACAATTCTATTGTATTGAACTGAAGGAATATTAAGAAAATGTTAAATATAAATTGTGCTTTTACAGTATAGGCCTATCTTGTCATTTGAAAAAGGTGGTAAAGGTTATATCTACCCCAAACCCACTCAAGTATGAGATACACCAGTTATGTACGGTCGGTTTTGGATACAGTGTTTATCCCGCGGGAAATATGTGTATCTCCCTCTGTCCCTGCGGTCCCTCGTGAGATACACATATTTCCCTTGGGATAAACCCTGTATCCAAAACCTCCCAGTACATAACCCTTATTTATCCCATACTTGGACGTATTACGGGTACATAAAGCTGGTTTGTAAAAACTTATATTTTCATCATCGGGCAGATATAGCTTTACGTCCCGCTCCGAGCGGGCAGATATAGTATATCTGCCCGCTACGTCATAATCGCCGCTCGCATATTTGTTCATAATTTGTAACGTTCGCGTAATGACTGTAAACTACAATGGAGAAAACACAGACAATCGGGATCTGTTTGATGGTTTAAAATTAATCAATCAAAAATTCGAGAAAATAAATGTGGGAATATTTGAGAGAACAGGAAAATCCACCCACGGCCAAAAAAAACTGGACATGAATATTCTAAAATATTTCCACGATTGAACAATGTGAACCAGATGACCAAGATTGGTATGGGATAAACATATTATCCTATAGTCGGTTCAGGATATTGGGATTATCCCTTGGCCAATATAATATATTTCCCTCGGGACCTGCGGCCCTCGGGCAAATATATTATATTTGCCTCGGGATAATCCCAATATCCTGAACCTCATATAGGATAATCTCTATATATGCCAGCACAGAATATGCAAATTAGATAGATACATGCATTATTATATGTATTTATATATATGTATGATATATATACAAGCATGCTGTGCTGGCATATAATATATATATGCATGAATACATAGATATATGTATGTATACATATATGTATCTATCTAATTTGCATATTCTATGCTGGTTTACATGGCCCATAAGCCTTATGGGCCATGTAAACCAGCACAGAATATGCAAATTAGATAGATACATATATGCATATGTATACAGATGCATATATCTATATATGCCAGCACAGAATATGCAAATTAGATAGATATATGCATTATTATATGTATTTATATATACCGTATTCTCTGTAATTAGCGCCCAGGGCGTTTAGAAAATTGAAAATACATTATTTAGACCATTCTAATAAGCGCCCATGTATGAAAGAAATCAGAAATCCCGAGGAATTTCATGTATGGCAATTTTTCTTGACAAGAATGCATTTTCTTCAACATATTTTTATAATAATATGACAAGTGCTGTTATTGGAGAGAATACGGTAAAGATCGCTTAGACAATATTGACAGTGGTTGAAGACCCGTCTATGTCTAATTTATTTCCGGCACGCCCACTTTGTCATTATCGCCGATTACCTTCAATATTTCCACTAGAGACTGCTGGATATCGATCTAAAGTTATACATTATTTCTAATTTGATGAGAGATCATCATTATTCGTGCAAAAGTCGTGTAAAAGTCGAGAAACATTAAAAAGAAACCAGAAAGTTCACGACCTTGACATGCGCAGAACATCTGCGCAGTAGCTTTTGAAATTTCTGAATGCCGATAAAGAACAATTCCTTCATTCATTATGGACTATTTGGAGACAATATTAGCATGGTATGGTGTGGGAAGCACCCATCGATAGATATGTATCGAGAGGATGCATAGAATTACAAAACGCGTCGTGTTTACAGCAGTTTTAGGGTAAGTACTCTATTATCGCCCGCTCCTGGATTTTGAGAAAAAAAAATTTTCTGATATATTCTTCAATTCTTGTTGATTCCTCGATGTTTCTTGAACTTTGTGAAGCGGGGTGGGCGCTTATTAGAGAGTGGGCGGTAATTACAGAGAATACGGTATGTATGATATATATACAAGCATAATTGTACAAATAGTGACTGCCATTAAGGGAAATAGTGCAAAATATTTTCCTCAAGGGAATATCCTGTCCACTGACATGGTGGCTCTGTTTTACTTCGGTCCAAAGCCTTCTCTATATTCCGGCTTTGAGTAGAAGTTGTTTACATGGCCCATAATCCAGTAAATAGAGATGTTTATGAGAATGGTGTCCAATGGGTATATATTTAAGAGATTTTTTACTAGATGTTTTAATTGATGTTTGTACGAGGTGTTTACTAGAAGGAGGTATATAACACTATAGGGATGTCTTCACAAGATAGAGGTGTTTGCAAGACCACTTGAAAGATACTTCATATGTACTAAATATATTTAAAAAGATGGCGCATTACAAATGATATTGAACTCTTGCCTTGAAGTCAAAATTGAGTCACTTTGGATGATTACAAAATGCTTGTAATTATCATAAATATACTACTACATTTATTTTATACATTTGCATTAAAACATATTTTGTTTTTGCTTCATTTTTGCCAAATAGCATTAATATCAGTCCCCTCCCTATTTTTCTGAAAAAGTAAGATTAATATTCTCCAGTATAGAATCACTAATCTTTCTTCTTAGTCATACAATATTCTTGATTGCTTAAGCTTTGCCTCACCTATTTGAATTTGCCTCACCTATTTGAATTTGCCTCACTTATTTAAATTTGCCTCACCTATTTGAATTTGCCTCACCTATTTCGGGTCTATACACTGCGTCCTCTGTCATTGCCAATTTTTTTTTATGATTAGACAATATTAAATGTATGTGGATGTACATGAATGATTTTTTATGTGACAGTTAAAGCTTTTAGCAAATTAGTTTCTTTTTAGTTCATTGATCGAAATTATGTAAGAAACTGTAATTATTACATGTAACAATCCCATTATCTTCTCAAATTGACAATTACATACATATGATTTGATTACACATTAGAATGTGAAAATATTATATATTTTAGAGGTAACTTTAATATTATTCCCATTCTTGGTGTAATAGTGTCATTATTGCTACATCCATCAGTTTATAAGTGTTTGCTGTTCATATGTCTGTCAAAATCTTCAATATTGACCCATAAGTGGCATCTCAAAAGATTGCCACATTTCAGAATGGCTGCAATTTTTATTGTCATAAAACAGGTTTTCGGCACTTTCACCATGTGAGCCCAGTACCCATGGTACTATTCATTTACAAAATTCCTTTCTGTGCTTGGTGGTAAAAGAAAAGATATTTGTTAGAATTTAAGACCTAAAAAAGCCTATTTTATGCCTAATATTTGGAATGGGTCCTATATCTGCCAGCAGGGTTCACTGGATGACAAATTATCAATTCACCTATTCCTTTCCAAATTTTTTTTCTAAATTCTTAATACAAGTTAAGTAAAAATGCTATTCCATTTTCCTCTTAGGAAAATACAAATTACACATCGTGACCCATTTTTTCTGTGGAAAGTTAAACATATGTGACATGTGACTAACAGGGTAATTATCCCATCAGCTTCATCGAATAATTTCAGACAAAATGACTAAAACAATCAAAAATCAATATTTATCCCTGGCAAAATTATAACTCACTTTTATAACTCAGCACTTTTGTAAGATTATATATAGGCTTTTATTCTACAAATAAGCTACTATTGATAAATGACAACTCAAAAAACATTGTATGATAATATCAATGTTTTCAGAATTATTTTGCAGATGAAAATCATTAATAATGTGAAATAAACTAATAATTTGCAAGGGAAGATCTTGTTCCCATTGGAATAGTCTGTATACCAGAATGAGCATTCTCCTCTGAACAAACCTAATCTGCCGGCTATTTAATATTCAGAGCACACTTAATTCATGTTCCAGGGCCCTAGTTTGGCAAATCAATACAGAATATTCTTAGGGAGCCATATTATTAATTCCTGATTGGAAACTCAACTGAATACTCAATATATGATCCGTGATTTTGACATATTGATAAATAAATGAGTAAGGGGCAGTTTGGGGATAGTGTGCTGAGGTTTGGAGCATATCTGATAACAGAAAAAGCAGGAAATCGAGGTGAACTTTTCCAGACACATGAACTAAGTTTGGAGTGAGAATACCCACTGCATATTAGAGTTGAACATATTATGTGAGATAGTGTTTCACATACAATACAAACAGCTAAATATAACTGTAAATTCTAAGTACATATTGGACGAGTTTTGTATAAGTAAACATATCACTTTTGGATAACATAAAATGACTTCGCATCCAGTGAAAAAAGTCCCCATTCATTTACAGGTAAGGAACTTTTGTAGATAGCACACATATTCAGAAATAGCATGTAAGTATTTAGAACTATGATTATAGTATACATGTTACATGTTCAAAAGGTTAGGTTACTCTGAACTTTCTGAACCATAAAACTTTCTCGAAATCTGTCATCTTCAATCAATCTTCAAGTGTAACTGTAAGTTTGTGATGTATTACTAAATGCATGTTAAATATAGGCTGGGTCTCTCAGGTTGAAACATAGACAAAGTAATGAATTGTAATGTCTGTCTAGTGTGGCTGCCATCTCTTTTCATGATGTCTATCTCCACATATTGCAGGGTTTGCAACAAATATATGCTCTTCTTCTTCCCTTCTTCTTACCCCCCCCCCCCCTTCTTTCTCTTATATTTCATCAGGATTTTGATTTTCTTGATTCTAAAGTATCTGTATTGATGCATCTTCTTTATCCAACCATAGTGTTTTTGTTACTGTACAAACACATAGGAACTAATGCGTGTCTAGGTCAGTGGCAGATTCATCAATACAGGTATATGTATTGGTTGTAAGTGATGAGATATGATATATTGCGAAACACATATCCTATTATATTGCTTACATGAGTCCAAGAATAGTGAGAGGGGGTATATAAAAGGTCCAAAAGAGGATATGGTAACACATGAATAAGCATATACTCCCCCTGACTAAATGCCTGTCTGTACCATATATAAGGAGGACTATGTGCTCCAACCCAACCCCCCTACAGCAATTTGGATGAATAATTAGAGTACCAAGGGCCCTACCACAATCTGTGAGCTACTTTCCGCATATATACCATGTACCACAGGTACCAGTAGTATGTACAGGTACCAGGTAGTAAAAGGGTACTGTGACATCAATAATATTTGTTTTGCTCTCTAATTATCAGTGCTATAATAAGTGAAGATTATGACCTGTTGTGTTAAACTGTAGGTAGCTGTAGATGCTTAATTGCTAGAGAAGCATCTGTCATGTGTATGTACTCTATATGCAATGTACCTGATTGCATTATTTCATGTTATGTATACAGTGAAACCTGCAACAGTGAAGCCTGCTATAGTCAAACCTGCCATAGTAATCACCCTGCTCTAGTGAACATGTCATCATTCTGTTTACACCTCTTTCGTGAACAACTTATTATGATCTGGTGAACACGTTGGTCTGGTAAACATGTCTCTTGTTCATATCTTGTGCATCCAAGAGAACATCTGTCTATTGTACTTTGAAGTAACATAGTCAGACATAAATGATTTCTGAAATTAACACCTTTTTAAAATTGTTGGTCCACCTTACCACAGAAAATCGCAATTTCTGCAGTGAAAAGTTTTTAATTATATCAAGTGAACTTTATACACGATTTGATTTGCATAATTTGATGCAGTATTTCTCGGGGCTCTTCAGAAGACTGATTGCCCAGCTGGTGTAACTGCACTGTCTTTGATTATTCAACATTACAAGCAACCTCTGATTGCCAACATTGTGATCTATAATGATTCAAAGTATATTCATGTTCTCCACATATTTATGATTGCCAAGGGCTATATGATGTTATTTTGATGGTAGACATGGGAAGTTATGGCCATAATATAACCACAGAGATCTATGTTAACATGTACCTCTCACATTTATAGCTTGTATATTATGCAGCATCTTCATATCTTCATTTGAACAAATGGAATTTTCTGTATTTCAGTTGATATCAGTTTCACTTGAAAAATAACAAGTGAAAAAGCCTTGTTTCACTTGAAAAATAACAAGTGAAAAAGCCTTCAAATCATTGATCAACATGTTTTCATGAATGCTCTTAATATCTGAAAAGAATTTTATTTCTGCTAATTGCAGACCCGTTAAGAAGATTAATGACGATGAACATGAAACAGTCCAGATTTAGCACAGGTATTTCCTAGGAAATGACCAATCGTGTCTTCATCTCTGAAAAACATTTTCTATTTTCAGTCGAAGATCAAACAATTGTTTGATGATGTAGGAAGTGGTTTTTCAAAAATAACAATGGATGATCATATGATGTCTGTTATTTTGATGCTAAATGTAGTACTCTTACATACATACATTCAATCCATGTATGATTGTATCAGTCGTAAAATACCATTGTGGGTCACAAGTCATCCTTGCAGCAAGGGTATAGTATTTTAAGCAATAAATGAAGTCCTTTGAAGAAGGATGATCAAAAGTTTGACTTTGCCTTTTCAAAAAGAAGGCTTTGTCTGTACTTTTCAGAGGGTATTATTTGATTGAGTTGCTCAGGGTTTCTTGACCTATAAAATGCAGTGATTGTTCATAGGTCACCTTGTCACACAATGATGTCACGTTTCATTGGAGTCCCTTTCATCCAGCCACCAGGATGTTTATACATAGTAATTGTATTACTGGATTATGTCAATCTGGGGAATTAACTATGATAATCCTGTCAACATGGAGATCTTATTCAGAATATTAGGCTGAGTCAACTCTTTTATGTTGGTTTTATTGATGTTTTAGGGTATTGTGACGTTCAAATGTTGCTCCTTGATATCGTTTATGGGGGAATATGAAGAGTTGGGAACCTGGACTTTTGGTACCAGAACTTAAGTTCGGACCTTATGCTTTAACCTCCATATATCTATCATCCACATCCTTATTGAACAATCACTAATGTATTGAATAAGCTTACTCCCAGAGGAAATTTGTTAGAGATGATAAGTACTTGTAAAAGGGACTTGGATACATTGATTGAATGATTGGTTACTGGTATACCCTTTTGCTTCTTCAAAAGATACCTATTTCAAATTTACTAGGCTCTTACATTCATGGTTTGCGTTGACTGGATTTTGGAGTGGCTGTGGCTCAGCTTCACAAGTCTTTCTTCACAATTTTCTCAAATTCTCTAAGACTTCTAAATGTATCTCTACCAAATCAGGTTGGGTGATTAGTTATTGATCCGGTATTGCATTACATGGAAATATTGGATATTATAGGATTATCACTGTAACATCTGGTCCTGTTATAGGCCCACATGCTTCTTTTATTGTTCCAGGCTTATTAGTATCATACCCCCTCTGCCATGTCAGATGTAGCCAAATCAATTAAATATATACATATGTAACTATTATAATTGAATGCATATTCTATCACATCTGGACTATGGAAAGTGTTAAGCTTTAGATTGGATTGGGTTGCTTTCATCATCTACTACTCTACTATAGCATTCTCAAATGACATAAAGAGAATGGGAGGGGAGGTGTGATTTGTGTGATACAAGCTTTTCTGGAGTATTCAACATACAAGATTTGGGTAGAAATCTACCTTATATTCTCCAAAAGAAAATAATATAATTTGTTCTCCATTACAGGTTTTACTGTACATGTGTAGATATTTTCCTTGAAATGTTACATGGAATAGTTGTATGTGCTAACCCTTCAAAATAATGAGCTAAAAGTGCTAACAATAATGGAAATACATAAGAATTATGCAGTGATATTTTCGTAAAACCATTCTTGAACAATTGTTTCTAAAATTAAAGAGGTCTAGCAGATGAATTTTTTATAGATATTGATCTGCAAATTCTTTCTTCTGAAGGCCTCTGAACCAAATGTTTTCTGTAGTTTCAACTCCTGGCAACATTTCTGCATGTTTTCCCAAGACAAACTAGTGCTGGTTTATAAGGTCATGTAATCCCTGTGGAAAACAGTAATATCCCAATCATGGTTTACAAAAACATCAATCTAACAGTCATGACTTACAGGCATCTATGACTCAGTTAGGTTAATTAGGCATTGTTTTAACAATTATATTTTTTGTTAAAGTAAACACCTCTCTTAATAATTCAACAGTTTGATTTTTTGTCTGTATATTTGTCTTATTCGGAGAATAATTATAATGACTTCTTAGCCTCGTGGTTATACTTCTTTAATGCTTGAACACTTTCTGAACACAGCGACATTATATTCCTCCTATTTATCTCCCATGTAAAAAAGCTTTTGAATGTTGCACATTGAATCACAAAGGTGTTCATATTTGAACACTTGAAAAAGGCAGATCCAAAAAAGGTAGAATGAAACACATGTCCTTTTGACTGAACTCCAATGACCAATATCATAACTGGAAGGGGAATTCTAAAAACTAACATGGTGTAAACTTACAGGTGCAAGTTAGGAATATCAATTGCTCATAACAAATACATTTTAGCCATTTTATCTCACGTCTAGTATTTAAATGTTACTTATTTAGGGTCAGACTTTCACCTTTGATAAATCTGACAGTTAATAGCATAGAGGTACAATTTGTAGAATGTATTATCCGATATCCAGGATTTTTCATGATTTATGATTACAAATTATCCAAACTGTAGACTGGTGATCAATATTATCAAAAATGTAGAATTATTCAAAATTAGAGCGTGAAAAGTAGATTGGCAGGAAGTGGATTAAATGATTGTCTGATCAAATTTGTCTTAATTTCCCTGTGATGTTTAATCTGCTTTGCAGGGGGGGGGGGGGGTGTGGAGGGGGCCTGTCTGCAACTCCCTTACATGCAAAATAGATGGCACTGAAGGTACATAGCCCCCTTCCCCATCACCCCCCCCCCCCCTCCATTCACAGATCCTCCCATGGCCCATATAAGTCAATGTTTACTTTACAAAGTGATGTGTGATATGGTGTATTAGTTGTCAAATCCCTCTTTTCAGTATTTATTTGATTATATCCCTGTCTTGTGATTTTGGAAGCCAGCACATCGTTTTGTATATCAACGTCACAGTTGTTTGTCACTTGTGACAGTCTATTTGGTAAATGTGTCACATTGTGTGTTCTTCAAAGTCATAGAACCATAATATATACCCATTATATCAAATATTTGCCAAAGGTAATACAGACATCCCTGAAAGCACACAATTAGAATCTGTTTCTGCTATAATACCAGTTACTGGTACTGTTTCTGCTATAATACCAGTTACTGGTACTTCCTGACCATGATAACCCGTGGCATCTACTTGC